CAACTACCCACAACACCCTGGTGCAACAATCCACAACTACCCCACAAACACCCTGGCTGCAACAATCCACAACTACCCCACAACACCTGGTTTGCAACAATCCACAACTACCCCACAACACCCTGGCTGCAACAATCCACAACTACCCCACAACACCCTGGCTGCAACAATCCACAGCTACCCCACAACACCCTGGCTGCAACAATCCACAACTACCCCACAACACCCTGGCTGCAACAATCCACAACTACCCCCACAACACCCTGGCTGCAACAATCCACAACTACCCCACAACACCCTGGTTGCAACAATCCACAACTACCCCACAACACCCTGGCTGCAACAATCCACAACTACCCCACAACACCCTGGCTGCAACAATCCACAACTACCCCACAACACCCTGGCTGCAACAATCCACAACTACCCCACAACACCCTGGCTGCAACAATCCACAACTACCCCACAACACCCTGGCTGCAACAATCCACAACTACCCCACAACACCCTGGCTGCAACAATCCACAACTACCCCACAACACCCTGGTTGCAACAATCCACAACTACCCCACAACACCCTGGCTGCAACAATTCACAACTACCCCACAACACCCTGGCTGCAACAATCCACAACTACCCACAACACCCTGGCTGCAACAATCCACAACTACCGCACAACACCCTGATTGCAACAATCCACAACTACCCCACAACACCCTGGCTGCAACAATCCACAACTACCCCACAACACCCTGGCTGCAACAATCCACAACTACCCCACAACACCCTGATTGCAGCAATGCACAACTACCCACAACACCCTGGCTGCAGCAATCCACAACTACCCCACAACACCCTGTCTGCAACAATCCACAACTACCCACAACACCCTGGCTGCAGCAATCCACAACTACCCCACAACACCCTGGCTGCAACAATCCACAACTACCCCACAACACCCTGATTGCAGCAATGCACAACTACTCACAACACCCTGGCTGCAGCAATCCACACCTACCCCACAACACCCTGTCTGCAACAATCCACAACTACCCACAACACCCTGGCTGCAGCAATCCACAACTACCCCACAACACCCTGGCTGCAACAATCCACAACTACCCCACAACACCCTGATTGCAGCAATGCACAACTACCCACAACACCCTGGCTGCAGCAATCCACAACTACCCCACAACACCCTGTCTGCAACAATCCACAACTACCCACAACACCCTGGCTGCAGCAATCCACAACTACCCCACAACACCCTGGCTGCAACAATCCACAACTACCCACAACACCCTGGCTGCAGCAATCCATAACTACCCCACAACACCCTGTCTGCAACAATCCACAACTACCCACAACACCCTGGCTGCAGCAATCCACAACTACCCCACAACACCCTGGCTGCAGCAATCCACAACTACCCCACAACACCCTGGCTGCAACAATCCACAACTACCCACAACACCCTGGCTGCAGCAATCCACAACTACCCCACAACACCCTGGCTGCAACAATCCACAACTACCCACAACACCCTGGTTGCAACAATCCACAACTACCCCTCAACACCCTGGCTGCAACGATCCACAACTACCCACAACACCCTGGCTGCAGCAATTCACAACTACCCCACAACACCCTGGTTGCAACAATCCACAACTACCCACAACACCCTGGTTGCAACAATCCACAACTACCCCACAACACCCTGGCTGCAGCAATTCACAACTACCCCACAACACCCTGATTGCAACAATCCACAACTACCCACAACACCCTGGTTGCAACAATCCACAACTACCCCACAACACCCTGGCTGCAGCAATTCACAACTACCCCACAACACCCTGATTGCAACAATCCACAACTACCCCACAAATTGGAGAGGAAGTTGAAGACAATTATGAAGATTATTTAAACTTACTGTGGAGAACAGTGTCAGGGATCTATACTGTAGCCTCAGGATATTTTCTCAGTTTTAAAACTGGCTCTTATCTCTCGCTACCACCAAAACAACAACAATCAACCAATATTACCACGAAGAATCACCCTTCTCGTCAACCCGTAGCTGGATTGGTAGCGCACTCAGCTAACACACTGAGGTTCGTGGCTCGATCCCCGGTACGAGTGGAAATATTAGGACGTGTTTCCTTAAGACACCTGCTGTCCCTGTTTACCTAGCAGTAAAATAGGTACCTGGGTGTTAGCCAACTGGTATGGGTCGCATCCTGGGGACAAATCTGACCTAATTTGCCCGAAATGCTCTGCGTAACAAGGGGCTTTCTATATAGTAGTATGTCATTGATGTCAGCTATGGTCTGTATACCTTGTACATATACTTGTAAAAATAAATATTATTATTATTATTATTATTATTATTATTATTATTATTATTATTATTATTATTATTATTATTATTATTAATTCTCCCACCAGTACTACCAACCACCCACACCCCAGTTTACTAACCACCCTGACTACCTTCTTAGGTAGTCTGGCCAACGCCTCTCCCTCACCTCCCTGACACTAGTCCCTATCACAGCCACCCACACACACTTCTTGTTAGTTTGTTCACCAGGGCGAGAATCTGACACGAGTCTTTGTCATAACACTGGCCCTTCATTGGTGCCGGCACTGTGGTGGGCCACAGCAAGACCTGTGTCCCAGCACGGCAAGACCTGTGTCCCAGCGTGACCTGTGTCCCAGCATAACAAGACATGTGTCCTAGCATTGACAAGACCTGTGTCCCAGCATGACCTGTATCCCAGCATGACAAGACCTGTGTCCCAGCATAACAAGACATGTGTCCTAGCATTGACAAGACCTGTGTCCCAGCATGACCTGTATCCCAGCATAAGACCTGTGTCCCAGCATAACAAGACCTGTGTCCCTGTATGACAAGACCTGTGTCCCAGCATGACAAGACCCGTGTACAAGCATGGCAAGACCTGTGTCCCAGCATGACAAAACCTGTTTACAAGTACGGCAAGACCTGTGTCCCAGCATGACAAGACCTGTGTACAAGCATGGCAAGACCTGTGTCCCAGTATGACAAGACCTGTGTAAAAGCATGGCAAGACCTGTGTTCCAGCATGACAAGACCTGTGTACAAGCATGGCAAGACCTGTGTCCTAGCATGACAAGACCTGTGTCCTAGCATGGCAAGACCTGTGTCCCAGCATGACAAGACCTGTGTCCTAGCATGCCAGGACCTGTGTCCCGGCATGACAAGACCTGTGTCCTAGCATGGCAAGACCTGTGTCCCAGGATGACAAGACTTGTGTCCTAGCATGCCAGGACCTGTGTCCCGGCATGACAAGACCTGTGTCCTAGCATGGCAATACCTGTGTCCCAGCATGACAAGAACTGTGTCCTAGCATGCCAGGACCTGTGTCCCGGCATGACAAGACCTGTGTACAAGCATGGCAAGACCTGAGTCTTAAGACCACGTGAAGGTAGGGTCCACGTGAAGGTGGGGACCACGTGAAGGTGGGGACCACGTGAAGGTGGGGACCACGTGAAGGTGGAGACCACGTGAAGGTGGGGACCACGTGAAGGTGGGGGCCACGTGAAGGTGAGGACCACGTGAAGGTGGGGACCACGTGAAGGTGGGGACCACGTGAAGGTGGGGACCACGTGAATGTGGGGGCCACGTGAAGGTGAGGACCACGTGAAGGTGAGGACCACGTGAAGGTGGGGACCACGTGAAGGTGGGGACCACGTGAAGGTTGGGGGTAACCGATAACACTAAATTAAAGCGCATAGAAAATCTGCAGCCTACAATTCCTTAACAAAATCGAACAAAATCTTGGAGATGCCTGGCCAACCCTTGTTGAATCCTGCCCCGTCCAAGGCAGGTCCCTTGACGCTGGTGAGTGGGCTCTCCATCTAGGGAATTGTATCTCTGCTTCGATTCCCTGGATTAAGCCTCAATGCCTTCCGCTCCCTCTTTCCACAGGCGCTGTATAATCCCTACGGGTTTAGCGCCCCCCATGATGATAACGTGATGAATGTTGCGCTGCAAACTACCCAAATCAAGAACCTCGTATTCTTGGGACCACCATCACTAGATTCTCCTGTTTTCAAAACCTCTTTCTTCTGGGATCACTACTACTAACCAGTCTAAAACTGAGAAGGCGGAACCAGGAGCTGGAGCTCGCTCCTTGCACACTCAAATAATAATAAAGAGGTGAATATAAAGAGTTAAGTTGATAATGGTATAAAATACTGACAAGTTGAAGATTAAGACACACGTGCAACAGTTGGGTATCTTTATTGTTGTAACGTCTCGCCCACACAGTAGACTTCTTCAGTCAAATACAGAGGCAGCAGGTGTAGTAGTGAGTTGAAGATGACGTAATCAGTCCTTCAACCTTGGAAATAAGAGGCGGTAGATCCCTCAGCCTGGAAGAGAGTCCAGCTCCACGGTCTGGAACGATATTGTTCCAGGTGAACTCTTCTCCAGGCCGAGGAACTGGCCATCTCAAATACTTTTTCCCCCGAGGTTGATGGACTGATTACATCATCTTTATCTCACTACTACAACTACTGCCTCTGTATCTGACTGAAGAAGTCTACTGTGTAGGTTAGGTCAAATTTGTCAGGAAACAGGACAAGTGTTTCCTGACGCGAGTCTTAGTCAGATCATGACCCACCGTTGGAGCTTTCGGTCATCTGACCGAGGCCTTCCGCTGGCTTACCCCTCCACCCCTTTAAAAATTAAAGTTCTAGGTATAACCATTTCTTATGTGCCAATAAAGAAACCTAACTGCCGCACATGTGTCTTAATCATCAACAAACAGGTTAGCCTTAGAAGCCTTCTGCTATTAAATTAGTTTCACAGGTCCTTGATAATGTGAAAAATCGCGAAAGCAGTTGGAAGTTCACTATTTTTGTATCACAGTGGTTGTTTTGTATACTGTGATATCACCTGTTTACTGTGATCTTACTGCACAAACAGGAAACTATGAACAAGTGTAATAACTGACCTCTGTTTGGGTGAAGGTCCTTTCTCTCCCGGCGCCACCTGTTCCTCACCATCCCACATGGGCATTGAGATGGAATAGTTGAGGATCAAAGTCCATATCAACCCCAGGATCAACTTCAACTTGCAGTCCACGATATCTGAAGAGTCTGTGGGGCAAGCAAAGACGATTATTATTATTATTATTATTATTATTATTATTATTATCATTATACACATGAGATCATACACAGGGTTCATACGACCAAACAAGAGAGAGGAAAGCTGACAAATAAGACACTTGTACAACACCTGGGTGTAGTGAGAGACGTTTCGCCCCTTCCTAATGATGGGGGGGGGTTGAACAGTATTTTTCTTCGGTAAGTCTCCAATAATTTAACTTTCAACAACAGAAAGGTTTCGTAGCTTCAAGATGTTTGAGTACTGTGTCTTAAGAGTCTTGGTACCCTTCAACTTACTGCGAATAACACCAGGAGGTCATCAACCAGCAGTGACACCAGGAGGTCATCAACCAGCAGTGACACCAGGAGGTCATCAACCAGCAGTGACACCAGGAGGTCATCAACCAGCAGTGACAGCAGGTCATCAACCAGCAGTGACACCAGGAGGTCATCAACCAGCAGTGACACCAGGAGGTCATCAACCAGCAGTGACACCAGGAGGTCATCAACCAGCAGTGACACCAGGAGGTCATCAACCAGCAGTGACACCAGGAGGTCATCAACCAGCAGTGACACCAGGAGGTCATCAACCAGCAGTGACACCAGGAGGTCATCAACCAGCAGTGACACCAGGAGGTCATCAACCAGCAGTGACACCAGGAGGTCATCAACCAGCAGTGACAGCAGGAGGTCATCAACCAGCAGTGACACCAGGAGGTCATCAACCAGCAGTGACACCAGGAGGTCATCAACCAGCAGTGACACCAGGAGGTCATCAACCAGCAGTGACACCAGGAGGTCATCAACCAGCAGTGACACCAGGAGGTCATCAACCAGTAGTGACACCAAGAGGTCATCAACCAGTAGTGACACCAGGAGATCATCAACCAGCAGTAACACCAGGAGGTCATCAACCAGCAGTGAGTAACACCAGGAGGTCATCAACCAGTAGTGACACCAGGAGGTCATCAACCAACAGTAACACCAGGTCATCAACCAACAGTAACACCAGGAGGTCATCAACCAACAGTAACACCAGGTCATCAACCAACAGTAACACCAGGTCATCAACCAACAGTAACACTAGGTCATCAACCAACAGTAACACCAGGTCATCAACCAACAATAACACCAGGAGGTCATCAACCAACAGTAACACCAGGAGGTCATCAACCAACAGTAACACCAGGAGGTCATCAACCAACAGTAACACCAGGTCATCAACCAACAGTAACACCAGGTCATCAACCAACAGTAACACCAGGTCATCAACCAACAGTAACACCAGGTTATCAACCAACAGTAACACCAGGTCATCAACCAACAGTAACACCAGGAGGTCATCAACCAACAGTAACACCAGGAGGTCATCAACCAACAGTAACACCAGGAGGTCATCAACCAACAGTAACACCAGGTCATCAACCAACAGTAACACCAGGTCATCAACCAACGGTAACGCCAGGTCATCAACCAACAGTAACACCAGGAGGTCATCAACCAACAGTAACACCAGGAGGTCATCAACCAACAGTAACACCAGGTCATCAACCAACGGTAACACCAGGTCATCAACCAACAGTAACACCAGGAGGTCATCAACCAACAGTAACACCAGGTCATCAACCAACAGTAACACCAGGTCATCAACCAACAGTAACACCAGGAGGTCATCAACCAACATTAACACCAGGAGGTCATCAACCAACAGTAACACCAGGTCATCAACCAACAGTAACACCAGGTCATCAACCAACAGTAACACCAGGAGGTCATCAACCAACAGTAACACCAGGAGGTCATCAACCAACAGTAACACCAGGAGGTCATCAACCAACAGTAACACCAGGTCATCAACCAACAGTAACACCAGGAGGTCATCAACCAACAGTAACACCAGGAGGTCATCAACCAACAGTAACACCAGGTCATCAACCAACAGTAACACCAGGAGGTCATCAACCAACAGTAACACCAGGTCATCAACCAACAGTAACACCAGGTCATCAACCAACAGTAACACCAGGTCATCAACCAACAGTAACACCAGGAGGTCATCAACCAACAGTAACACCAGGAGGTCATCAACCAACAGTAACACCAGGTCATCAACCAACAGTAACACCAGGTCATCAACCAACAGTAACACCAGGAGGTCATCAACCAACAGTAACATAAGGAGGTCATCAACGAACAGTAACACCAGGTCATCAACCAACAGTAACACCAGGCCATCAACCAACAGTAACACCAGGTCATCAACCAACAGTAACACCAGGTCATCAACCAACAGTAACACCAGGAGGTCATCAACGAACAGTAACACCAGGTCATCAACCAACAGTAAATAACGCCATCACGTCACTGTTTATTGGTCACTGTATCTATTGGTCAATATAATCAAAATTTTCACTGCTCACTATAAACACTGTACATTATACACTTCAGTATAAAACCTTTTTACTGTATACAACAAAAAACGTGTCTCGCTGTGCACTATAAACGGTTGCACTATACACTGTAAACGTTTCACTGTGCACTGTAAACAACGTACACACTGGAAGGCTGTAGAATTAATAAAGATTTATAATAAGTGCTAAAAAAATCTAGCCAAGTTGGATCATTTTTTATTTAGAAATGATATAGGAAGGCGTGGTTTAGCAATAGAGTTGTAGATTAGTGCAACAGACTCGGAACGCGTCTTAGGCGTGACGTCACTGATGAGTTTATATGCACTTCAACCAATCACATAGTGGCATGCTTATGACGAGACGTGTTTTTGGAGCAGCTCGACCAATCACGTTGTGCTTATGTGCAACGTCACTGATGACGTCACACTTGATCAGTGACGTATGGTGTGTTTGTAAACAAGAGGTTCCCGCCATTCCGCACTATTTTTAACATCGCCACGACTTCTCAGACGGAGCCACGTAGCTCAATGGTGGCAGAAGGGGAGGTTATCTATTTAGTGTGTGTGCACTCACCTATTTGTGGTTGCAGCGGTCGATTCATAGCTCCTGGCCCCGCGTCTTCACTGATCGTTACTGGGTCCTCTCTCTCCCTGCTCCATGAGCTTTATCATACCTCGTCTTAAATCTATGTATGGTTCCTGCCTCCACCACCTCACTTGCCAGACTATTTCACTTCCTGACAATTCTATGACTAAAGAAATACTTCCTAACATCTCTTTGATTCATCTGAGTCCAGAACTTCCAATTGTGACCCCTTGTTTCTGTGTCCCATCTCTAGAACACCCTGTTCCTGTCCACCCTGTTAATTCCTCGCAGTATTTTGTACATCGTTCTCATGTCTTCCCCAACCCTCTTGTTCTCCAGTGTCGTCAGCCCGACTTCCCTTAATTTTTCTTCGTAGGGCATTCCCCTTAGCTCTGGAACTAGTCTTGTTGCAAACCTTTGCACTTTCTCTAATTTCTTGTCGTGCTTGACCAGGTGTGGGTTCCAAACTGGTGCTGCATACTCCAGTATGGTCCTGACGTACACGGTGTACACAGTATTGAACGATTCCTTACTGAGGTATCGGAACGCTATTCTCAGATTTGCCAGACGCCCATATGCTGCAGCAGTTATCTGGTTGATGTGCGCCTCAGGAGACATGCTCGGTATTATATTCACCCCAAGATCCTTTTCCTTGAGTGAGGTTTGCAGTCTTTGGCCACCTAGCCTGTACTCTGTCCGAGGTCTTCTTTGCCCTTCCCCGATCTTCATGGCTGCATTTCGCAGGGTTAAATTCAAGGAGCCAGTTGCTGGACCAGGTTTGCAGCCTGTCCAGGTCTCTGTGTAGTCCTATCTGATTCTCATCCGATTTAATTCTCCTCATTAACTTCACATCATCTGCAAACAAGGACACCTCTGAGTCTATCCCTTCCGTCATGTCACTCATACCAAAAACAACACTGGTTCAAGGACTGACCCTTGTGGAACCCCGCTCGTCACAGGCGCCCACTCTGACAATTCGTCACGTACCATGACTCGTTGTTGCCTCCCTGTCAGGTATTCTCTGATCCATTGTATTGCTTTTCCTGTTATGCGTGCCTGATCATCTAGCTTCTGCACTAATCTCTTGTGAGGAACTGTGTCGAAGGCCTTCTTGCAGTCTAAGAAAATGCAATCACTCCACCCTTCTCTCTCGTGTCTTACATCCATTACCTTGTCATAAAACTCCAGTAGGTTTGTGACACAGGACTTTTCTTCCCTGAATCCATGCTGGTTGTCGTTCATAAGCTTGTTCTGTTCTAGGTGCTCCACCACTCTCCTTCTGATAATCTTCTCAATGACTTTGCATACTATACACGTCAGTGACACTGGTCTGTAGTTCAGTGCCTCATGTCTGTCTCTTTTCTTAAAAATGGGGACTACATATGCCGTCTTCCATACCTCAGGCAGTTGCCCAGTTTCAGTGGATGTGTGTGTGTGTGTGTGTGTGTGTGTGTGTGTGTGTGTGTTCTCTCTCTCTCTCTCTCTCTCTCTCTCTCTCTCTCTCTCTCTCTCTCTCTCTCTCTCTCTCTCTCTCTCTCTCTCTCTCTCTTCCCACCTTGTGTTTATGGGGGTTAAAACATCAGCACCTGGCCTCCCTCTCCAATTCTCACTCCTCAATGTCCCTATCATACCTAAATGTTAGTGGTCCGGGGACCATCGCCCCAGCGAGCTGGTCTCAGACCAAGCTCCCTGGACCAGAAAGAAAATATTACACCCACAAGAACTACAGCACTACGAAACACTCACGGATATAAGTAGAATTTTGTAAGAGTTACCTGTCATCTTACGTAGTCATGAGACAGAAAGAAAAAAAAACAGTTAGCCTGTCAGAGTGCAAAACATTTAACATCACATGACAACAGTTTAGCCCCTAACTGACCTGTTGCTGTCTACATACCTATTTGCTGTGCATATATACTCTTTCGAGGGATAGGCACTTATGCCCATCCCTCAATAAATTGGCGCTACTCTCCCTTTCCTTGGATCGACTCT